TAAAACGTCTATAAATATCTCCATGGTACCGGTTTTAGGAGGTTTACCCCCATCCAGGGCTGTAAGCAGTAGTCTATGGCTGCTAGAGACCTCTCTGTCTAATGGGCTTTGTAATTGTAAAATAGGCACTTTGCCATCTTTCCCACGATCTTTCACTTCCAGTCGAAAATTATTATTTTGATTCAGTTTATAATGTTGAACGGAATTCACACCACCATCTGGATCGAGAGCAGCATGCAACTGGAATCTGGTTCCCGGTAGAGTGGATTCTGAAATCTCTAGCCTTTTGTTGTTCTCCGGGAAAGAGGGCGAATGGTCATTCACGTCTAACACTTCTACTGCAACATAATGTATCTCCAGTGGGTTCTCTAGTACGGTTTTAAGGTTTATCAAACATACATTGGTCCGCTGGCATATTTCCTCTCGGTCAATATTACGATTTACGTATAAAATGCCATCATTTTCGTTTACCTGGAAAAGGGGCTCGGTGGATCCAGACACAATACGAAACCCCCTTGTTTTCATTATATTTGGATCTATTCCCAGATCCTTTGCTATATTCCCAACAGCAGTCCCTTCTTTAATCTCTTCTGATATAGAATATCTTATTTGTCCCGATGCCTTGCCGAAAATTAAACTCCAAGCCAGCACAAGGGCGACCCATTTCCTTCCTTGTCGCCAGGAGTGCTGTCCTCTTTGTTCCATTGTCTGCTGCCTATGGATAAATCTAGAAAATACCAAATAATCTGCAGGCTGGTTATATATCCATCGATTGAGGGGAAGAAAATCCACGTCTTACAATGCGCTCGGTATGGACGAGAAAACTGTTCAAATACATTTACATTGGGAGGATAAGGGTCTGCCCTCCTGAATGATTCAGAGGCAGTCTCACAGACCTAATGTACTGTGAACCGATGTGATGCGTATTTCTGGTTGTTTAGTGCCACCATGCGATTCTTCCACAAACACAGATTTATCTCAACTGCTGCTGACAATATAATCTTAAAGCCAAACAATGTACATAAAAGGCAATTCAATAGTCACCGCAAATTAAATTAATCGCCTCACACTTTAGGGAGGATTACTCACGATATTGTACATTTCTTTTCTACAGTATGTGTTACACCGCTTGCACACATTGACGACATCAGTGGTGTAGAAAACGTAGAGTTTATTGCTTCACCGGCGGGACAGGTGAAACTTACAAACAAACTGTAGGTACTTCAGCAGCTCTCGCACACACACACTGACCGAGAGCATCTTCTTCTTCTCTTATTCTATTTGCCTTGCTACTCAGTGTCACAGACAGCTTATACTGCCACCTATTGGCGAGTGCAATAATACATTTCAGAACAAATTGTAGCAGTATATTATAAGATAAAATGTTACAATAAGGTAACTGGCTATATAAGTATAATGAAATCTTATTCCATGTGCCACATATGTATTTGAAAGTTAATACAAGGACGTCAAAAACATGTTCACTTCCTCAGTACCAAAACACTCACGGCATAGCTAGCAACAGGAGATGTGTTCAATAAATAAATACAAAGACAGAAGTAAAAAAAAAATATATTTAAACACGTCTTACCTCTGAAGTCGCAGACCTCCTGTCAGGGAGCACTAGTGTATTCGCATGGCTGCCCGGCACTATAGTAGATCCTATACTCATCCTGGGTCCAACTAACATGTACCGTTTGTCTCCCGATCTGTACTGGATGCTGTGACACAGTGTCCCGTCATAATTAGGCTCTTGTAGATATTTAGAAGTATAGTCTGTAGATTTAGAGCACTGCATTGCAATCAGCACGATGATACTGACGAGAAAAAGTACTGAAACTGAGCCCAAAGTTATCATCAGGTAAAAAGTCACATCATTCCCCTCCTCATCCTTTGTTGCACTTTTAACATCAGAAGCTGCAAAAGCCTCTTTGGGCTCCACAAGTTTGACAATCACAGTAGCTGTTGCTGAGAGTGAAACGTTCCCATTGTCTTTCACCAGTATGACCAGTTTATGCTCGGCCTCGTCTGTCTCTGTGAATGAGCGAAGTGTTCTGATCTGTCCTGTATAGCGGTCCAAAGCAAAGAGACTGTGGTCAGTAACTTCCTGCAGTGAAAACAGTAACCAGCCGTTATATCCTATATCAGCGTCATAGGCTCTGACTTTAGTCACCAAGTGTCCTGCGTTCACATTGCGGGGAATCTCCTCCACACCTTCAGCAGAACCGTTGGAGCTGACTGGATACAGGATGACTGGAGCGTTGTCGTTCTGATCCAGAATGAACACGTTCACTGTGACGTTGCTGCTTAGTGACGGAGTTCCAGAATCTGAGGCAACAACTTGGAACTGGAACGTTTTCAGAGTTTCAAAGTCAAAACTTTTTAGCGCTGTAATCTGTCCATTATCTGGGTTTATATTGAGAAACGACATAAAATAATTTTTATTCCCTTCTCTAACAAGATGATAAGAAATAGCTGCATTATCATTCAAATCCTTGTCTCTTGCGCTTACCGACAATATTGACTTTCCAGCAACGTTATTTTCTACCAGATAAAACTGTAAAGGGGATTGTTCGAAATGTGGACTGTTGTCATTTACATCTGCTATCTGAATATTCAATGTTTTAAACGTAGATAAGGGAGGTTCCCCACAATCAGTGGCTTTTATTGTTATTTCATAATGTGACACCTCCTCTCGATCCAATAAAGCCTTAGTAACAACTGAATATGTGTTTTCTTTGTAGGAGGGCGTTAATTCAAAAGGCACGTCTGAGGTTATGCTTGTAATAATTTTTCCATTAACACCGGAGTCTTTATCGGTCACACTGATGAGAGAAACAATTGTTCCAGGTTTTGAGTCTTCAGACACTGTATTTGACAGTGACGTTATTTCTATCTCCGGTGGATTGTCGTTGACGTCTATGATTTTTATAATGACTCTACACTCACCTGTCAGTGGAGGCGTTCCTTTATCGGATGCCTCAACATCGAGTTTATAAACTTCGTTTTCTTCATAGTCTACCACTCCTTTTACTCTAATTTCTCCAGTTAATTTGTCCAATTCAAAAATGTCATAGACCTTTTTCTTCAGAGTTTTAATAAGGCTGTATTCAATTTCGCTATTTATGCCTTCATCGGGATCCGTCGCATTCATTTTCAACACTGAAGTACCGACTGGAACATTTTCTTTTATTGAAATTTGATAAATCTCCTGAGTAAACATTGGACGATTATCATTACTGTCAAGAACAATGATGGAAACATTTAGGGTCCCTGATCTTGGAGGTTTACCTCCATCAACTGCTGTAACCAGTAGCGTGTGTCTGTCCTTTTGTTCTCTGTCCAACGTTTTCTTCAGCACTAAAAATGGTATTTTATCCTCATCGCTTTGGCGGATATCTACTTCAAAATGGTCGTTTGTCGTTAAAGTGTATCTACGAATAGAATTAATTCCAGCATCAGGATCACGAGCAGCGTGTAGTTGAAATCGCTTTCCTGGTAATGTATGCTCAGCTATTTCAAACATCTGTTCTCTTTCGGGGAAAACTTGGAGAGTGATCATTTACATCAGTAATTTCTACAATCACGTAGTGTATTTCCAAAGGGTTTTCAACAAGGATTTTTAGTTCCATTAGACAAGCACCGCTGCCTTGACAGAGCTCCTCTCTGTCAATATGCTTGTAGACGTACAATGCCCCATTATTCTGATTTACTTCAAAAATAGCGTCCTTGCTTCCAGAGACAACACGGAACCGTCGATCAGTCAAAGAGGAGATGTCAAGGCCAAGATCCTTCGCAACATTTCCAACAACAGTTCCCTCTTCTACCTCCTCCGGAATAGAGTACCTTATCTGAGCCAAAGCCTGTTTTCCGAAAAGCAGCAGTAGAGCCAAATGAAAAGCAAACCAGCAGTAGTTCCTTGTTCGTTTTTTTGTGTCGGTCCACATCGTTATCAAACAAACACACAGACCGAAGGCTGTTATTTCAACAAACAATTATTATGTTCATCCTGCTGAGTATCGCATAATAGCAAAACGGAAAGCGTGATTGTATCGGCTGGTCGTTTTATCCTATGCCTTCGCTGCCTATTTCAGGAGGAAACAAAAGCCTTGAAAGGGGAGGAACAAAGTCGTCCACAATTTGCCGATGTAATAGTGACACCCAGAGGTGATCACCAAGAGCAAAGTTTACTACGTGACATTATTTAAAAAATAAACAAAAACCTACTAGTAAACACTGGTGTAAATCCTTGAAATAACATAATAACTCCAATATAATTTTATGTAATCATTGTTCTATTTTACAGTATACACCGTCTCTCTCCTCTTCTCTCTCTCCTCTTCTCTCTCTCCTTCCACGGACAAATCAGAGAGTGTGATGTGACGCACCTCCATATGGTGTATTAATTGACGCTTTTCACTTCTAATATAGGTTTATTTATCATGATCGTAGCACTATTCAATGCGCTTTGCATAATCTGTTTGACATGTTCGTGCATTTCAGCACCATGGACAGCAATCACAAGAAGTCATACAGACTTTCCTTCTGATGACAAAAGCAATTCAAAGGTCACTGTTAAGACAGCGAAGTCCATTTCGTACTGCTCAAAACACTCAACAAAAGCACTTCTACTTGTTCAAAGTTTTTTTTATCAGTTGTTGGTTTAAAGTTGGTATATTATGAGACTGCCACAATCGTACTGCCCATACGTTCTCCCAAACCCACTATGATTACTCTGTTATTACTCTCTTACTACACAAATGAGCACTCTGTAATAATTCAAAAGGAACTTAAGAAACCAGTTAAGAGTTGTGCAGGATGCACCACACTACATTCATACATACATACATACATATATATATATATATATATATATATATATATATATATATATATGTATATATATGTATGTATGTATATATATATATATATATGGCCCCCTTTTCTGTGCAACATGCTTTAGACATGATAAAAAGAAGATGTCACGCAAAAGGAAAAAATGAACTGTATGCTTTTGAAGATAGCAGATAAAACCTTTATTTTTAATGTCTTACCTCTCCAGATGCCCTCCTCCTGTCAGGGAGCACTAGTGTATTCGCATGGCTGCCCGGCACTATAGTAGATCCTATACTCATCCTGGGTCCAACTAACATGTACCGCTTGTCTCCCGACCTGTACTGGATGCTGTGACACAATGTCCCGTCATAATTAGGCTCTTGTAGATATTTAGAAGTATAGTCTGTAGATTTAGAGCACTGCATTGCAATCAGCACCATGATACTGACGAGAAAAAGTACTGAAACTGAACCCAAAGTTATCATTAGATAAAAAGTCACATCATTCCCCTCCTCATCCTTTGTTGCACTTTTAACATCAGAAGCTGCAAAAGCCTCTTTGGGCTCCACAAGTTTGACAATCACAGTAGCTGTTGCTGAGAGTGAAACGTTCCCATTGTCTTTCACCAGTATGACCAGTTTATGCTCGGCCTCGTCTGTCTCTGTGAATGAGCGAAGTGTTCTGATCTGTCCTGTATAGCGGTCCAAAGCAAAGAGACTGTGGTCAGTAACTTCCTGCAGTGAAAACAGTAACCAGCCGTTATATCCTATATCAGCGTCATAGGCTCTGACTTTAGTCACCAAGTGTCCTGCGTTCACATTGCGGGGAATCTCCTCCACACCTTCAGCAGAACCGTTGGAGCTGACTGGATACAGGATGACTGGAGCGTTGTCGTTCTGATCCAGAATGAATACGTTCACTGTGACGTTGCTGCTTAGTGACGGAGTTCCCGAATCTGTGGCAACAACTTGGAACTGGAACGTTTTCAGAGTTTCAAAGTCAAAACTTTTTAGTGCGGATATTTGTCCATTGTCAGAGTTTACATTTAGGAATGTTGTTACATCATTTCCTCTGGCAATATGATAAGAAATAGCTGCATTATCGTTTACATCATTGTCCTTTGCGCTTACAGAGAATATTGACGTCCCGGGAACGTTATTTTCTACCAGGTAAAACTGTAATGGATTTTGTTCAAAATGTGGACTGTTGTCATTTACATCTGATATCTGAATGCTGAGAGTCTGAAAAGTGGATAAAGGAGGTTCACCACAATCAGTAGCTTTTATTGTTATTTCATAATTTGACACCTCCTCTCGATCCAAAAAAGCCTTCGTTACAACTGTATACGTGTTTTCTTTGTAGGAGGGCTTTAATTCAAAAGGCACGGCATTCGATATGTGTGAAATAATTTTTCCATTAACACCGGAGTCTTTATCCGTTACACTAAGCAGCGAAATAACTGTTCCGGGTTTTGAGTCTTCAGACACTGTATTTGACAGTGATGTAACTTCTATTTCTGGTGGATTGTCGTTGACGTCTATGATTTTTATAATGACTCTACACTCACCCGCTAATGGAGGTGTTCCTTTATCCGATGCCTCAACGTCCAGTTCATAAACGTCGTTTTCTTCATAGTCCACTGGTCCTTTGACTCTTATCTCTCCTGTTAATTTATCCAATTCAAAAATGTCATAGACTTTCCGCCTCAAGGTTTTTCCAAGACTGTATTCAATTTCCCCATTAGTGTCTTCATCGAGATCCGTCGCATTCATTTTAAATACTGACGTACCGACTGGAACATTTTCCTGTATTGAAATTTGATAAATCTCCTGACTAAACATTGGGCGGTTATCATTACTGTCAAGAACAATGATAGAAACATTTAGTGTACCTGATCTTGGAGGTTTACCTCCATCAACTGCTGTAATCAGCAGCGTGTGTTTTTCGTTTTGTTCTCTGTCTAACGATTTCTTCAGCACTAAAAATGGTATCTTACCAGCATCGCCTTGACGGATATTTACTTCAAAATGTTCATTTGGTGTTAAAGTGTATGTACGAATAGAATTAATTCCAGCATCGGGATCACGAGCAGTGTGTAGTTGAAATCGCCTCCCTGGTAATGTATGCTCAGCTATTTCAAATATCTGTTCTCTTTCAGGAAAACTTGGGGAGTGATCATTTACATCAGTAATTTCTACAATCACGTAGTGTATTTCCAAAGGGTTTTCAACAAGGATTTTTAGCTCCATTAGACAAGCACCGCTGCCTTGACAGAGCTCCTCTCTGTCAATATGCTTGTAGACGTACAATGCCCCATTATTCTGATTTACTTCGAAAATAGCGTCCTTGCTTCCAGAGACAACACGGAACCGTCGATCAGTCAAAGAGGAGATGTCAAGGCCAAGATCCTTCGCAACATTTCCAACAACGGTTCCCTCTTCTACCTCCTCCGGAATAGAGTACCTTATCTGAGCCAAAGCCTGTTTTCCGAAAAACAGCAGTAGAGCCAAATGAAAAGCAAACCAGCAGTAGTTCCTTGTTCGGTTTTTTGTGTCGGTCCACATCGTTATCCAACAAACACACAGGAGGCCCCTAATGCACAAACAATTATTTATGTCCAATCCGCAAAATATCGCATTTTTTCAGAACAGACAACGTGATTTATTCGACTGGTGTGCTTTATTCAAGTGCTGTCTTTGCTCTACTGACAAACAAAAGGTTCATGAGGGGAGGGACAAAGTCGTTTGTGGTTTCCCAATGTAATACTGACACCCAGAGGTAATTACTGAGAACAAACTTTAGTACATATTCTTTCTTTGAAACAAAGTATTTCTAGAACAGAAACTGAGGTGTAACGTACTTTGAAAAGCTTCAGGTTTTTAGCATTATTCTAGCTGTGTCTCCCCCTCTCTCTTCTTGCGCTCCCTGATCAATAAAACAAGTTTTAAACGATGTATTCTTCTAGATGGCGTGTCCAATAGGCTTATTAATTGGTCATAAAATTATATATTAATCGTGTTTTTATTCTAATATTGCATTGCTGTGTGAGGGTCCATGCCTTTCATCACCACCACAAGTCAGAAGTCTTTGCACATTATTAAAACAAGTCAATACCGAACAACTCAATAGAAACACTCCAACATCTACAAACTTTCCAGTGAGTTATTTATTGGAAATTTGAATGTTTTGAGAACAAACTGTCAAAAACTCACTGCTCATATACATATTCCCCCAATACAGGCTCAGTTTTGCTGGAAAACAGTGATCTTTTAATTTCAGCACCATGGACAGCTATCACAGGTCAGGAACAAAGACTTGTTCCTTTTTACAAAGATGAGCTCTTTCATTTTTTCAAGTCTATATTTGTATGAACAAGAGACACAACCGTTCAGAGGAAAGCAGAGCACACAGTTGCTGTTGCAGATGGAGCTATACAGCCACATCCTGCATTAACTTACTTGCATTTTTACACCTCTTTTTCTGTCAATGAGCACTTTCTATGACAAATGAGATAGTAGGAACTCAAAGTAATCTGTTGGAATCCGAATAAAAAAGCGACACACTCAACAAGACATATTTGAGTTTCTTGTGAGTTATATTTGTTGCTGTTCACTATCCAAAATGCTTTAGAGACATGATAAGAATATTGGAGGAAAACACAAACAATGAACTATACTTGTAAACATTTTGTATAAAACTATATTTTTAAAGTCTTACCTCTCCAGATGTCCTCCTCCTGTCAGGGAGCACCAGTGTATTTGCATGGCTGCCCGGCACTATAGTAGATCCTATACTCATCCTGGGTCCAACTAACATGTACCGTTTGTCTCCAGATCTGTACTGGATGCTGTGACATAGTGTCCCATCATAATTAGGCTCTTGTAGATATTTAGAAGTATAGTCTGTAGATTTAGAGCACTGCATTGCAATCAGCACGATGATACTGACCAGAAAAAGTACTGAAACTGAGCCCAAAGTTATCATCAGATAAAAAGTCACATCATTCCCCTCCTCATCCTTTGTTGCACTTTTAACATCAGAAGCTGCAAAAGCCTCTTTGGGCTCCACAAGTTTGACAATCACAGTAGCTGTTGCTGAGAGTGAAACGTTCCCATTGTCTTTCACCAGTATGACCAGTTTATGCTCGGCCTCGTCTGTCTCTGTGAATGAGCGAAGTGTTCTGATCTGTCCTGTATAGCGGTCCAAAGCAAAGAGACTGTGGTCAGTAACTTCCTGCAGTGAAAACAGTAACCAGCCGTTATATCCTATATCAGCGTCATAGGCTCTGACTTTAGTCACCAAGTGTCCTGCGTTCACATTGCGGGGAATCTCCTCCACACCTTCAGCAGAACCGTTGGAGCTGACTGGATACAGGATGACTGGAGCGTTGTCGTTCTGATCCAGAATGAACACGTTCACTGTGACGTTGCTGCTTAGTGACGGAGTTCCAGAATCTGTGGCAACAACTTGGAACTGGAACGTTTTCAGAGTTTCAAAGTCAAAACTTTTTAGTGCGGATATTTGTCCATTGTCAGAGTTTACATTTAGGAATGTTGTTACATCATTTCCTCTGGCAATATGATAAGAAATAGCTGCATTATCGTTTACATCATTGTCCTTTGCGCTTACAGAGAATATTGACGTCCCGGGAACGTTATTTTCTACCAGGTAAAACTGTAATGGATTTTGTTCGAAATGTGGACTGTTGTCATTTATATCTGAAATCTGAATGCTGAGAGTTTTAAACGTAGATAAGGCAGGTTCACCACAATCAGTAGCTTTTATTGTTATTTCATAATGTGACACCTCCTCTCGATCCAAAAAAGCCTTAGTAACAACTGAATATATGTTCTCCTTATAAGAAGGTTTTAATTCAAAAGGCACGTCTGACGTTATGCTTGAAATAATTTTTCCATTAACACCGGAGTCTTTATCCTTCATACTGATGAGAGAGATCATTGTTCCAGGTTTTGAGTCTTCAGACACTGTATTTGACAGTGATGTAACTTCTATTTCTGGTGGATTGTCGTTGACGTCTTTTATCTTAATAATCACTCTACATTCACCCGTTAAAGGTGGTTGCCCTTTATCAGATGCCTCAACATCGAGTTTATAAACGTCGTTTTCTTCATAGTCCACTGGTCCTTTTACACTAATTTCTCCGGTTAATTTGTCCAACTCAAAAATGTCATAGACTTTTTTCTTAAGAGTCTTAACAAGGTTGTATTCAATTTCGCTATTGGTGCCTTCATCGGGATCTGTCGCATTCATTTTAAATACTGAAGTGCCGACTGGAACATTTTCTTTTATTTCAATTTGGTAAATCTCCTGAGTAAACATTGGGCGGTTATCATTACTGTCAAGAACAATGATGGAAACATTCAGTGTACCTGATCTTGGAGGTTTACCTCCATCAACTGCTGTAACCAGCAGCGTGTGTCTGTCCTTTTGTTCTCTGTCTAAAGATTTCTTCAGCACTAAAAATGGTATTTTATCCTCATCGCTTTGCCGGATATCTAATTCAAAATGTTCATTTGGTGTTAAAGTGTATGTACGAATAGAATTAATTCCAGCATCAGGATCACGAGCAGCGTGCAGCTGAAATCGCCTCCCTGGTAATGTATGCTCAGCAATGTCAAATATTTGTTCTTTTTCGGGGAAAGTAGGAGAGTGATCATTTACATCAGTGATTTCTACAACTACGTAGTGAATTTCCAAAGGGTTTTCGACTATGACTTTTAGCTCCATTAGACAGGCACCGCTGCCCTGACAGAGCTCCTCTCTGTCGATTTTCTTATGGACATAGAGAACACCATTGTCCCGGTTTACCTCAAAAAATGCATCCTTTGATTCAGAAACAACACGGAACCGTCGGTCAAACAAAGAGGTGATGTCAAGGCCAAGATCCTTCGCAACATTTCCAACAGCAGTTCCATCTTTCACCTCCTCTGGAATAGAGTACCTTATTTCTCCCAAAGCCCGTTTTCCGACAAACAACAGCAGAGCCAAATGAAAAGCAAGCCATGAGAAGAAACGTCTTCTAGTTTGCCTTTCGATTCCCATCGTTATCCAACAGATTTGTTTGACACAAAAGCCCGTTTCTACAATAAATGTCTGTATCACAGCCGTTATGAGTCAAATATGTACAAAGAGTAAAGCACGATTCCATCGGTTGGAGTTCTCGATTCAAATGCCTTTTCTGCTTTTTTTCAAGGGGCAAACAAAAGCTTTGTGAGGGGAGGGGCAGCTTTTCCTAATAGGTTCTCTATGTAACACTGACACCCAGAGGTCAGTGGAAAACAAATCTATTATAATCTTATTTAAAATAAATCCATCCAATAGAGCCCTTAAGCACCATTAAGGTTTCGGGATCAATCGTAGCAATGCGGGATAAGCACAGTAAGCACTGAAATTATTCAAAGGTTACTCTGGAGACATTTGAAGACTGGAGATACTGTAATGGGAAGCATAATTCAATTAAGTTTTAAAGGTGCTAATAGACTTATAAAATGCAAAAGAATCGAAACCACAGGGTTCCTAGAACGGTTGACGACAGAAATACAGATTTATAAAAACGCAGTGCTAAGTCGACATTGTGATTTTTAGATGATTCGCTCAAATACAAACCAAAGGGTTGGCCTTGAAATCCAGAAATGAAACACATCAAGTTTAAAACCTAAACTTAAATTTTGACTTGAAAAGTAGTACAATAAAACCAAGCGTGACTGTAAGCACCATGGACAGTACCACAAAATATGCCGTTAGGTTGGTCGCCTATGGATTTCCTCGTGAAGTGGCCTAAAGGTATTGCTTAAAGAATATATCCCAGCGTGAACTTAAATTCCAACGTTTAAATCCTTTTTCAAATCCTTGGACAGTGGTAAGATATAAATCCTGGGTAACACCACAAAACACGTGGTCATGTTACTATCCGGAACACATTTGCTAGTTTCAAGAGCGGCATAAAGTGCCACTGATGAGACTAAACTGAAAACGAGATTTAATATATTTTTGCTGTACATTGTAAACATTAATTGCTATGTGTCACTGATATGCTTATATGTGTAATTATATATGTGAGGGGGAAATTATCTTAATGTAACCAGCAGTAAACGACCTGTAAGTGCAACAAAACTGGGTTCAATTAAAATTGAAACGTGGGCTTACCTCTCCAGATTGACGTCTCCTGTCAGGAAGCACTAGAGTATTTGCATGGCTGCCCGGCACTATAGTAGATCCTATACTCATCCTGGGTCCAACTAACATGTACCGTTTGTCTCCCGATCTGTACTGGATGCTGTGACACAGTGTCCCGTCATAATTAGGCTCTTGTAGATATTTAGAAGTATAGTCTGTAGATTTAGAGCACTGCATTGCAATCAGCACGATGATACTGATGAGAAAAAGTACTGAAACTGAACCCAAAGTTATCATCAGATAGAAAGTCACATCATTCCCCTCCTCATCCTTTGTTGAACTTTTAACATCAGAAGCTGCAAAAGCCTCTTTGGGCTCCACAAGTTTGACAATCACAGTAGCTGTTGCTGAGAGTGAAACGTTCCCATTGTCTTTCACCAGTATGACCAGTTTATGCTCGGCCTCGTCTGTCTCTGTGAATGAGCGAAGTGTTCTGATCTGTCCTGTATAGCGGTCCAAAGCAAAGAGACTGTGGTCAGTAACTTCCTGCAGTGAAAACAGTAACCAGCCGTTATATCCTATATCAGCGTCATAGGCTCTGACTTTAGTCACCAAGTGTCCTGCGTTCACATTGCGGGGAATCTCCTCCACACCTTCAGCAGAACCGTTGGAGCTGACTGGATACAGGATGACTGGAGCGTTGTCGTTCTGATCCAGAATGAACACGTTCACTGTGACGTTGCTGCTTAGTGACGGAGTTCCAGAATCTGTGGCAACAACTTGGAACTGGAACGTTTTCAGAGTTTCAAAGTCAAAACTTTTTAGTGCGGTAATCTGTCCATTATCTGGGTTTATATTTAGGAACGACATTATTCCATTTTGACTCCCTTCTCTCACAATATGATATGAAATAGCTGCATTATCATTCATATCTTTGTCCGTTGCGCTTACAGATAATATTGAATTTCCAGCAACGTTATTTTCTACCAGATAAAACTGTAATGGACTTTGAGAGAATTGTGGTCTATTATCGTTTACATCTGATACCTGAATGCTGAGAGTTTTAAACGTAGATAAGGAAGGTTCACCACAATCAGTGGCTTTTATTGTTATTTTATAATGTGACACCTCCTCTCGATCCAAAAAAGCCTTAGTAACAACTGAATATATGTTCTCCTTATAAGAAGGTTTTAATTCAAAAGGCACGTCTGACGTTATGCTTGTAATAATTTTTCCATTAACACCGGAGTCTTTGTCCTTCATACTGATGAGAGAGATCATTGTTCCAGGTTTTGAGTCTTCAGACACTGTATTTGAAAGTGATGTAACTTCTATTTCTGGTGGATTGTCGTTGACGTCTATGATTTTTATAATGACTCTACACTCACCTGTCAGTGGAGGTGTTCCTTTATCGGATGCCTCAACATCGAGTTTATAAACGTCGTTTTCTTCATAGTCCACTGGTCCTTTTACTCTAATTTCTCCTGTTAATTTGTCCAGCTCAAAAATGTCATAGACTTTTTTCTTAAGAGTCTTAACAAGGTTGTATTCAATTTCGCTATTTATGCCTTCATCGGGATCCGTCGCATTCATTTTAAATACTGAAGTACCGACTGGAACATTTTCTTTTATTTCAATTTGATAAATCTCCTGAGTAAACATTGGGCGGTTATCATTACTGTCAAGAACAATGATGGAAACATTCAGTGTACCTGATCTTGGAGGTTTACCTCCATCAACTGCTGTAACCAGCAGCGTGTGTCTGTCCTTTTGTTCTCTGTCTAAAGATTTCTTCAGCACTAAAAATGGTATTTTATCCTCATCGCTTTGGCGGATATCTATTTCAAAATGTTCATTTGGTGTTAAAGTGTATGTACGAATAGAATTAATTCCAGCATCAGGATCACGAGCAGTGTGCAGCTGAAATCGTCTTCCGGGTAATATTTGTTCAAATATTTCAAATCTCTGTTCTTTTTCGGGGAAAATAGGAGAGTGATCATTTACATCAGTGATTTCTACAACTACGTAGTGAATTTCCAAAGGGTTTTCGACTATGACTTTTAGATCCATTAGACAGGCACCGCTGCCCTGACAGAGCTCCTCTCTGTCGATTTTCTTATGGACATACAGAACACCATTGTCCCGATTTACCTCAAAAAATGCATCCTTTGATTCAGAAACAACACGGAACCGTCGGTCAAACAAAGAGGTGATGTCAAGGCCAAGATCCTTCGCAACATTTCCAACAGCAGTTCCATCTTTCACCTCCTCTGGAATAGAGTACCTTATTTCTCCCAAAGCCCGTTTTCCGACAAACAACAGTAGAGCCAAATGAAAAGGAAACCATGAGCAAACCATTGTTCTACTTTGTCTGTCGGTCCCCGTCGTTATCCAAAAAGACATTAATACACAAAAGTCCGTTGCAGCAATAAATGTCTATATCAAAGCCATTGTGTGTCACAAAATTATAAATAGTAAAGCACGATTCCATCGGTTGGAGAGCTCAGTTCAAATGCCTTCTCTGCTTTTTTCAGGGGGCAAACAAAAGCTTTGTGAGGGGACGGACAACGTTTGCTATGGTTTCCCTATGTAACACTGACACCTAGAGGTCACTGCGAAAGTACAAGGTTTTATTCTTTTATTTAAAAACAAATCTCTATCCAATAGAGCTCTTATGCACAATGCAGATTTCAGCTTTTAAACAGCCGATCAATCTGTTCACATTGTTTGGTAAGCAAAATATGCTCAGAATGTCTCTAGATGATATGGAAGACCTTTATTAGTTGAGCCTTTTAAAATATTGTAGTTAATTGACTTAGTTACTTCAATTAACCTTCTTTGTGCACTGTTTTGTATGAACAAAAGAATCAATTGCGTTTGAGCACCATGGACAGAGATCTGAATCAGACCCTTTCCCTGTGTTTTCTTAAGGACAGTAGTTTGGCCTTGTGTACAAATCAACTGAAAAACCAGCAACTTTCCTTTTCAAATGTTGGCCAAGTGTCTGTCATATTTCCAAAAACATGTATCCAAATTCTAAAAAAACACAATTTCCAGTTCTTATGTGCTGTCAAATTTGGAAGATTAAACCAAATAATCTCAATAAAGTGGACAGCAGAGAGTTGTCTATTAAACAGAGGACAAAAAATAAACTATTGTATCTATTTTAAATGTTGGCTTTTCGCCTTGCTTACATATAGGTTTGCAAATGACAAACAAGTGGTAAGTAAAGTATATGGACACAACTGTGGAGCAGTGAGCCTCTTGCCCACACAGTGAAGCAAATAAACTAAGCCATTTGTCACATTGATTCGCATATCTCTTCCTATGGAAACCACAAACACCGTCTGGTGAACACAGTATCTCTAGATAAACCCAAATATTAAGCATCGCACTTGATCAGACTGTAATATGGTTGAATTTGACTTTAGGTGTGTGGTAGTGTTCTGTGTACTAGGGGCATTAGAAAAGTGACAAAAAAGAAAATACTCCATTGACTACAAAGCAATGACAGAACGGAATACATTTAAATGTATTATATATCACATTCATTTCAAGGTCTTACCTCTCCAGATGCCCTCCTCCTGTCAGGGAGCACTAGTGTATTCGCATGGCTGCCCGGCACTATAGTAGATCCTATACTCATCCTTGGTCCAACTAACATGTACCGTTTGTCTCCAGATCTGTACTGGATGCTGTGACACAGTGTCCCGTCATAATTAGGCTCTTGTAGATATTTAGAAGTATAGTCTGTAGATTTAGAGCACTGCATTGCAATCAACACGATGATACTGACCAGAAAAAGTACTGAAACTGAGCCCAAAGTTATCATCAGATAGAAAGTCACATCATTCCCCTCCTCATCCTTTGTTGAACTTTTAACATCAGAAGCTGCAAAAGCCTCTTTGGGCTCCACAAGTTTGACAATCACAGTAGCTGTTGCTGAGAGTGAAACGTTCCCATTGTCTTTCACCAGTATGACCAGTTTATGCTCGGCCTCGTCTGTCTCTGTGAATGAGCGAAGTGTTCTGATCTGTCCTGTATAGCGGTCCAAAGCAAAGAGACTGTGGTCAGTAACTTCCTGCAGTGAAAACAGTAACCAGCCGTTATATCCTATATCAGCGTCATAGGCTCTGACTTTAGTCACCAAGTGTCCTGCGTTCACATTGCGGGGAATCTCCTCCACACCTTCAGCAGAACCGTTGGAGCTGACTGGATACAGGATGACTGGAGCGTTGTCGTTCTGATCCAGAATGAACACGTTCACTGTGACGTTGCTGCTTAGTGACGGAGTTCCAGAATCTGAGGCAACAACTTGGAACTGGAACGTTTTCAGTGTTTCAAAGTCAAAACTTTTTAGCGCTGTAATCTGTCCATTATCTGGGTTTATATTTAGGAATGTTGTTACGTCATTCCCTCTAGCAATATGATAAGAAATGGCTGCATTATCATTCACATCATTGTCCTTTGCGCTTACAGAGAATATCGACGCTCCAGCAACGTTATTTTCTACCAGGTAAAACTGTAATGGATTTTGTTCGAAATGTGGACTGTTGTCATTTACATCTGCTATCTGAATATTCAGTGTTTTAAACGTAGATAAGGAAGGTTCACCACAATCAGTAGCTTTTATTGTTATTTCATAATGTGACACCTCCTCTCGATCCAAAAAAGCCTTAGTAACAACTGAATATATGTTCTCCTTATAAGAAGGTTTTAATTCGAAAGGCACGTCTGACGTTATGCTTGTTATTATTTTTCCATTAACACCGGAGTCTTTATCCGTTACACTAAGTAGTGAAATAACCGTTCCAGGTTTTGAGTCTTCAGACACTGTATTTGAAAGTGATGTAACTTCTATTTCTGGTGGATTGTCATTGACGTCTATGATTTTTATAATGACTCTACACTCACCTGTCAGTGGAGGTGTTCCTTTATCGGATGCCTCAACATCGAGTTTATAAACGTCGTTTTCTTCATAGTCTACCACTCCTTTTACTCTAATTTCTCCTGTTAATTTGTCCAATTCAAAAATGTCATAGACTTTTTTCTTAAGAGTCTTAACAAGGTTGTATTCAATTTCGCAATTGATGCCTTCATCGGGATCCGTCGCATTCATTTTAAATACTGAAGTACCGACTGGAACATTTTCTTTTATTGAAATTTGATAAATCTCCTGAGTAAACATTGGGCGATTATCATTACTGTCAAGAACAATGATGGAAACATTTAGGGTCCCTGATCTTGGAGGTTTACCTCCATCAACTGCTGTAACCAGCAGCGTGTGTCTGTCCTTTTGTTCTCTGTCCAACGTTTTCTTCAGCACTAAAAATGGTATTTTATCCTCATCGCTTTGGCGGATATCTATTTCAAAATGTTCATTTGGTGTTAAAGTGTATGTACGAATAGAATTAATTCCAGCATCAGGATCACGAGCAGTGTGCAGCTGAAATCGTCTTCCAGGTAATGTTTGTTCAAATATTTCAAACGTTTGTTCTTTTTCCTGAAAACTAGGAGAGTGATCATTTGCGTCAGTAATTTCTACAACAAGATGGTGCATTTCCAAAGGGTTTTCAACAAGAATTTTTAGCTCTATTATGCAAGCACCATTACCATGACATAGCTCCTCTCTGTCGATTTTCTTATAGACGTGGAGAACGCCATTGTCCTGGTTTACCTCGAAAAATGTCTCTTTAGATCCAGAAACAACACGGAACCGTCGGTCAATCAAAGAGGTGATGTCAAGGCCAAGATCCTTAGCAACATTTCCAACAGTAGTTCCTTCTTTCACCTCCTCTGGAATAGAGTACCTTATTTGAGCAAAACCGTGCTTTCCGAAAGATAGTAGTAAAGCCAAATGAAACACAAACAAATAATACCCTCTCGTTTGACTTTGTCTGTCGAGCCCCATCATTATACTGCAACTAAGAGGAAACACAAGAAATGCTGCGACAAAAAATCTCTATGTCCAAGTTGTTGATGCTCGCATATTTACAAAATACACAACATCAATCCCTCCGCTGGCGTGCTTGATTCAAATGCCTGTCCTGCTCTAGATGACAAACAAAAGCATTTTCAGGGGAGGGACAACGTCTTCTATCGTTTCCCAATGTTGCAGTGACACCAGGAGGTTACCAAAGGAAAGTACTTATATCATTTTCAATAATATAATTTATTTGTCAAATCATGGTTAGTAACTTCCAGTTGTGAAATTAGTCAGTACAACAGTATATTCGCAGAACAATACGAATGGACAAACAAGATCTTGAAAGTTTCTACAGTGATTGTTATTCTCTCTCTCTCTCTCTCTCTCTCTCTCTCTCTCTGTGTGTGTGTGTGTGTGTGTGTGTGTGTGTGTGTGTGTGTGTGTGTGTTTTGTGTGTGAGAAGCAGCATTTCTATAGATTACTTATTTTTGGCAAGATTCTTATTCGCTAAAGTTCTTAATTTGTAAAACAATAGTATTTCTAATAGTCATTATGAAAGCAGTCACAATCAGGCTCATATGTAGTGTGTTTTTCAGTCAAATGTAGCTTAGTATTTAAACTACAAGGTCCACACTGACTTCTAGAAAATTCAACAGAAACACCACCAACTTCCTACTTTTGCAATCAGCACCATGGACAGCAGTCACAACCAGGCAAAGAGCAGTGGCGTTTACTTGTAAAGTCTTACCTCTCCAGATGCCCTCCTCCTGTCAGGAAGCACTAGTGTATTCGCATGGCTGCCCGGCACTATAGTAGATCCTATACTCATCCTGGGTCCAACTAACATGTACCGTTTGTCTCCCGATCTGTACTGGATGCTGTGACACAGTGTCCCGTCATAATTAGGCTCTTGTAGATATTTAGAAGTATAGTCTGTAGATTTAGAGCACTGCATTGCAATCAACACGATGATACTGACCAGAAAAAGTACTGAAACTGAGCCCAAAGTTATCATCAGATAAAATGTAACATTGTCCTCCTCGTCAACTTTAGTTGAACTTTTAACATCAGAAGCTGCAAAAGCCTCTTTGGGCTCCACAAGTTTGACAATCACAGTAGCTGTTGCTGAGAGTGAAACGTTCCCATTGTCTTTCACCAGTATGACCAGTTTATGCTCGGCCTCGTCTGTCTCTGTGAATGAGCGAAGTGTTCTGATCTGTCCTGTATAGCGGTCCAAAGCAAAGAGACTGTGGTCAGTAACTTCCTGCAGTGAAAACAGTAACCAGCCGTTATATCCTATATCAGCGTCATAGGCTCTGACTTTAGTCACCAAGTGTCCTGCGTTCACATTGCGGGGAATCTCCTCCACACCTTCAGCAGAACCGTTGGAGCTGACTGGATACAGGATGACTGGAGCGTTGTCGTTCTGATCCAGAATGAACACGTTCACTGTGACGTTGCTGCTTAGTGACGGAGTTCCAGAATCTGAGGCAACAACTTGGAACTGGAACGTTTTCAGAGTTTCAAAGTCAAAACTTTTTAGCGCCGATATTTGTCCATTATCTGAATTGATATTTAAAAATGCTGCAATTTTTATTTGACTACCTTCCTCTCTAACTATATGATAAGTTAAAGCTGCATTTTTATTTAAGTCTTTATCTGTAGCAGTAACAGAAAATATAGGGTTTCCAGGCACGTTATTTTCTACCAGATAAAGTTCAATTGGATTATGCAAAAATTCTGGGACATTATCATTCACGTCTGATACATCAATACTTAGAGTTTTGAATGTAGACAGAGGAGGCTGACCACAGTCTGTAGCTGTTATTTTGATGTCATAATGCGAAACTGATTCTCGATCTAAATGCTGTTTCAAAACTAATGAGTACATATTATCTTGAAAAGATGGTTTTAAATCGAATGGCACATTATCCGAAAGACTGCATATTACTTTACCGTTTAAACCGCCGTCTTGGTCTGTAATACTAATAAGGGAAACCACAGTCCCAGGTTTTGAGTCTTCAGCCACCATGTTTAACAGGGATGTTACTTCTATTTGAGGTTTGTTGTCGTTTTTGTCGAGCACTTTAATGATCACCCTGCAATCGGTAGTCATTGGAGGCTGTCCTTTGTCAGTTGCATGGACGTCTAACTTAAAAACGTCAACCTTCTCAAAGTCAATTTCTCCTTTTACTCGAATTTCACCGGTGTCTTTATCTAAGCTAAACACATCATATATCTTCCGGTCAAGTTCACCACCGAAATAGTATTCAATTTCTCCATTTGGGCCCTCATCCACGTCAGTTGCCTTTACCTTAATAACACTTGTATCTGCAGCTACATTCTCAGGTACTGTTACTGAATACACTTCTTGTGTAAATGTAGGATGGTTATCATTGGAATCGAGAACTATAACTGTGACATTAAGTGTCCCTGATCTCGGTGGATTTCCACCGTCAACTGCTGTCAGAATCAATCTGTGCTCATGGTGCTTTTCTCTATCCAGAGACTTTTGTAGAACTAAGAATGGTATCTTGTCCTCTCCTCTCTCTCGGATTTGTATACTAAAATATTCGTTTTGATTTAATTTATACACACGCACAGTATTGGTGACAACATCTGGATCGTGCGCAGTTGGTAACTGGAAACGTTTGCCAGGAACAATGGACTCAGGAATTTCTAATATTTTTTCTTCCTCTTGAAAGCTTGGTGAATTATCATTTACATCTATGATTTCAACTCCAACATAATGTATTTCCATGGGGTTCTCAGCTACCATTTTTATGTTCATTAAACACGGAGAAACGCTTTCACAAAGCTCCTCTCGATCGATGTTCTTATGCACATACAAGACGCCATTGTTCTGATTTACTTCAAACTGAGCATCTTTAGTTCCCGAAACAATACGAAACCGTCGTTCCTGCAGCGAACTGATGTCCAATCCTAGATCCTTGGCGACATTTCCAACAACGGATCCCACTTTTACTTCCTCTGGAACTGAATATTTTATCTGAGCTGAAACCCACTCCACACAGCTGAGCATCACAGAAAAACGGATGGCTAACCACCAGGATTGTATTCCTCTTCTTTGTCCTCCGGCTCCCATCGTTTCAGTTTGTATTATTATTATTATTATTTCCAGTCAAAGGTCCTTACAAAAAAAGGTAAAAGCCTAAGCCTCAAAATATACAGTTTGAAAATATTCCATTTTTTTAAATGATCTATGTAAAAATACAACAACGGCAACACTCTCTCTGTTGAACGTACTACCTCTTCTCTGTCGACCTGAACAAAACCTCTCTGAAGGGGCAGGGCCAATGTATATAACACAACAGTTGATGCTGATATGACACTGACACCTTGTGGACTGGGCGCATAATGACCTCCTTTTATGGCAAGCAGCGACATAAATCATATCAATATGTTTGCATATTTTAGCTCCTTAAATAATTTCTGTTTTTGCTGACCGTTTTTGAAAGCAAAAAGTTGCCGATTTAAATCAAACTATATAGAAATTAAGGGAAACTAGCTTCCTGGATCAGTAAGAACAAATACATGACACTAATTAACATACTTTGAAACTTGCTTATGTTGTGTGAAAATCATGTCTGAATTAATGTTTGTGAGTTTTACATTATGTCTTCATGGCAATGGAGTATTTAAAAAAAAGTGTTTGCTGAATTCCCTTTACAAAAATGTTACTTTGGAGAGACCTTTGCAGACTGAAGGCATAGTAATGGATAGCATGACTCGAACAAGTTTGAAGGGTGTGCAAATAGACTTTCATAATGCAAATTAATAGGAACCACTGGATTTTTACGGTGGACAAGATACATCCGGACTTCTAAAACGTAGTAGTAGTAGTAGTAGTAAGAACGCAGTTATTTGTAGTAAATGGGCTAGAATACAAAAAGTAATGCCTCAAATAACAAAAATGTTTGATCTTTCAAATCTATGAATAAATGAAAATCGCAACAATATAACTGAGTGGGATAGTCAGCACCACGGACAGCGTTACAGAATATGCTGTCATTTTCGTATAGCTTTCCTCCTTTTTAAGAAAGCAAAACTTTTAAAAACTTTTTAAGAAGTCATTTCCGAACGGAAACGTAAAACCCAACTTAAATATCCCCACAATGTGACCAATAAACTGCACTTCAACACCTTATACAGTACTAGGACGTAAACCATGAATAGCGCCACGAAATATCGTGTCATGTTAGCAGCCTGATCACTTGAACTAATTTCAAGACAGACATAAAGGATCATTGATAAGACTATAAAAACGTCGTGAAACATGTCAGCTCTTTTTCTCTCTACACAGTAAACATTATTTCCCATGTGCTTGTGATGTGCTTCTAAAGGTAATCATATCTGTTAAGGGGAAATAATATTAAGGTAACCCGCAGTAAATGATCTGTGAGTGCATGAAACAGCTTCAATTAAAATTGAAACATAGGCTTACCTCTCCAGATGGACGTCTCCTGTCAGGAAGCACTAGTGTATTCGCATGGCTGCCCGGCACTATAGTAGATCCTATACTCATCCTGGGTCCAACTAACATGTACCGTTTGTCTCCAGATCTATACTGGATGCTGTGACACAGTGTCCCGTCATAATTAGGCTCTTGTAGATATTTAGAAGTATAGTCTGTAGATTTAGAGCACTGCATTGCAATCAGCACGATGATGCTGATGAGAAAAAGTACTGAAACCGATCCCAGGGTTATGATCAGGTAAAATGTAACATTGTCCTCCTCATCAACTTTAGTTACACTTTTAACATCAGAAGCTGCAAAAGCCTCTTTGGGCTCCACAAGTTTGACAATCACTGTAGCTGTTGCTGAGAGTGAAACGTTCCCATTGTCTTTCACCAGTATGACCAGTTTATGCTCGGCCTCGTCTGTCTCTGTGAATGAGCGAAGTGTTCTGATCTGTCCTGTATAGCGGTCCAAAGCAAAGAGACTGTGGTCAGTAACTTCCTGCAGTGAAAACAGTAACCAGCCGTTATATCCTATATCAGCGTCATAGGCTCTGACTTTAGTCACCAAGTGTCCTGCGTTCACATTGCGGGGAATCTCCTCCACACCTTCAGCAGAACCGTTGGAGCTGACTGGATACAGGATGACTGGAGCGTTGTCGTTCTGATCCAGAATGAACACGTTCACTGTGACATTGCTGCTTAGTGACGGAGTTCCAGAATCTGTGGCAACAACTTGGAACTGGAACGTTTTCAGAGTTTCAAAGTCAAAACTTTTTAGAGCGGATATTTGCCCGTTGTCCGAATTGACATTCAGGAAAGATGTCAGCCCATCACCTCTCACAATGTGATATGTTATTGCTGCATTTTCATTCAAGTCATTATCAGCAGCACTTACAGAAAATATTGATGCGCCTGGGGCATTGTTTTCTACCAAATAAAGTTCAAATGGATTCTGACTGAAAACTGGTCTGTTGTCATTTACATCAGACACCTGGACACTCAAGGTTTTTGCAGTGGAAAGTGGAGGTTCACCACAGTCAGTAGCCGTTATTGTGATGTCATAATGGGATACAATTTCTCGGTCTAAACGCCCCTTTGTGACAAGAGAGTACATGTTTTCCTCAATGGATGGTGTTAAATCAAACGGAACATCATCTAAGATTTTACAGATGACTTTTCCGTTAACCCCCGAATCTCTGTCCGTAACACTGATGAGGGAGATAACGGTGCCAGGCTTTGAATCCTCGGGGACTACATTTGATCAATGATGTTACTTCAATATCTGGCTTATTGTCGTTCACATCTTTAATTTTTATCACAACTCTACTTTCGGCCGTCCAAGGTGGCTGGCCTTTATCTGAAGCCTGTAAATCTAGTCTATAAATCTCCGTGTCCTCAAAGTCCACTTTTCCTTTCACTCGAATCTCCCCAGTGACGCTGTCTAATTCAAATGTGTCTTGCACTTTTTTCTTTTGTGTTTTTCCAAACATGTATTCAATTTCGCTGTTCAAACCTTCATCTAAATCTGTGGCGTTTAATTGTATTACAAGAGTTCCTATCGGGGCGTTTTCATTTAATAACACAGTATATATATCTTTGCTGAAAACAGGGCGATTATCATTTGCATCTAGCACAGTTATAGTTAAATTAAGACTCCCAGATTTCGACGGACTGCCTCCATCAAGAGCCGTTAACACTAAACAGTGCTCTGCCTTTTGCTCCCTATCCATAGGCTTTTTCAGCACTAAAAACGGTATCTTGTCCTCCTCGCTGTCTATGATTTCAATATCAAAAAAATCATTTTGGCTCAACTTATATAATCGAACTGACTGTGCACCGACATCAGGATCTCTAGCCGCATGGATTTGGAAACGAGTACCTGGAGGAGTATGCTCCGCAATTTCCAGTCGCTGCTCGCTTTCAGGAAAAGTCGGTGAATGGTCATTAACATCCGTTATTTCAACGCCAACGTAGTGTATTTCCAGTGGGCTTTCAACAACGATTTTCAGGTTTATCAAACAAACCTTGGTTCCATCACAGAGCTCTTCTCGGTCCATCGTTTTTCCAATGTACAACACTCCATTGTTTTGATTTAACTGAAAAAGAGAGTGATTGGGCCCCGAAACAATACGAAAGCGCCTGTCTGTCAAGGTGCTAATGTCAAGGCCTAAATCCTTTGCAACATTTCCAACAGGCGATCCCACTTGTATTTCTTCTGGAACAGAGTATCTTAACTGGGCCAAAATCCGCTCACCAAAGCACAGCAACAAAATCCCAGCAACCAGCCAGCAGTTCACTCGGCGCCTTTGTCCTCGATCTCCCATTGTGAAGCAAACAAAAAATGAAGGCTTTCTTTGGGGCAAATATAGTAATCCAATTGCTTATCGAACCAGTCTAATTAGATCCATTTCACGACTCTCAAATAGAAGCTTACACACATAAATATTAACCGCTATTCATATTACTTGATACATAGCCTATACGATGTGTACTCCGTCAGCATAGCACCTCCATCAGATATGATCTATAGATGGGCAGGGCCTGTGCAGAATAAGCAACACAACCATTAGGCCACACTGACACCATGTGGCCCGTGGGCTACAATACGATATTAAATCACAAGTGTTTTACTTCAATACCTCCTTCTCTATTACAGTCGACTGCTATATGCCTCCATGCTGCCCATAGTCCAGTAGTAAAGGACATGTGATGAGCTGATGAGCTAAAACGCCCCCCAGTCTTACTGTGTGGAGGATGCTCAGGTCCGCCTCTTCCAGCCAATGAACTAAATGTTAGCTATGCTTGTAGTGAACTACGCATGTGTCTTAAGACAGACAGACTTCAGCCGACACTTAAAGAAACTTTGCTGCAGTGAGTAGACGCTGGTTCAGAGTTGAGCCCCACAGTTTTCCGACACAAAACAGCAGCATTTTTGGAAGAAATTTTGTTTTTTTCACTATTGTGTCCGAAGGAAAGTGGTTGAATATTTTTTTGCTTTTCATGTCTGTGTGTGCGTAGGACAAAACACGTGTCAAAAAGTTCACAGCCTCTGCACAGTTTTTCGATCTTACACCTGCAATTATATGCATCGTTAAATGACACGTGGCCCCATCAACAATTATTTTTAATTATTATTTATGTAATCGAGGCGGGATAGAAGAGACACACATTGTAAATATGTTCCAAAGCTCTATTTTGTTCAATAAACTATGGATTCACGTTGATTAATACAAAACATGTGGCTGTATGTGACAGAAGGCGGAATACAAACTTTAACAGTGACTGTTCTCTAAGATCTAATTGTTATTAATTGTGTTGCCAAACAAACAACAACAACAACAAAAACAACATAAGAAAAAAGGAAACAAAATTCCAGCACCATGGACACACATTTTAAAACCAGCGGGGTCAAAACAGCACAATATACCCAAGCCTGATTATCAGCACCATGGACAGCGCTACGAACTATGCCATTGGGTTTCCCTGAAAGTATTGCTTATTAAAAAGTCATATAAACTTAATTTGAATATGGCCTCAATGTGACCAATATAATACACGTCAGCACCATGGACAATGCCAGGGTTGTGTTAGCAGTTAAACAAATTTTAAAGAGAAACACTGAGAAAACAACTCAGTTCTTTTGGTCTACCTAGTAAAGACAGGGAATCATATCCGTTTCGAAATAATGGCTGTAATACAACCTGCAATAAATGATCTGTGAGCGCAGGAAAAATAATTTCAATTAAAAATAAATATGAGCTTACCTCTCCAGATGCCCTCCTCCTGTCAGGGAGCACTAGTGTATTCGCATGGCTGCCCGGCACTATAGTAGATCCTATACTCATCCTGGGTCCAACTAACATGTACCGTTTGTCTCCAGATCTGTACTGGATGCTGTGACACAGTGTCCCGTCATAATTAGGCTCTTGTAGATATTTAGAAGTATAGTCTGTAGATTTAGAGCACTGCATTGCAATCAGCACGATGATACTGACCAGAAAAAGTACTGAAACTGAGCCCAAAGTTATCATCAGATAGAAAGTCACATCATTCCCCTCCTCATCCTTTGTTGCACTTTTAACATCAGAAGCTGCAAACGCCTCTTTGGGCTCCACAAGTTTGACATTCACAGTAGCTGTTGCTGAGAGTGAAACGTTCCCATTGTCTTTCACCAGTATGACCAGTTTATGCTCGGCCTCGTCTGTCTCTGTGAATGAGCGAAGTGTTCTGATCTGTCCTGTATAGCGGTCCAAAGCAAAGAGACTGTGGTCAGTAACTTCCTGCAGTGAAAACAGTAACCAGCCGTTATATCCTATATCAGCGTCATAGGCTCTGACTTTAGTCACCAAGTGTCCTGCGTTCACATTGCGGGGAATCTCCTCCACACCTTCAGCAGAACCGTTGGAGCTGACTGGATACAGGATGACTGGAGCGTTGTCGTTCTGATCCAGAATGAACACGTTCACTGTGACGTTGCTGCTTAGTGACGGAGTTCCAGAATCTGAGGCAACAACTTGGAACTGGAACGTTTTCAGAGTTTCAAAGTCAAAACTTTTTAGTGCGGATATTGTGCCATTGGCTTCATTTACGTTTAAAAAGGAGGTTACAGTGGGCCCTGGAGTCTTACGGTTAAGTGAATACGCGACTGCGGCATTTTCACCACCATCAGCATCTGTGGCGCTCACTGAAAAAATTGACATTCCGGCCTTGTTGTTTTCAGGTACATAAAAAGTATATGGACTTTCAGTGAACAAAGGACTATTATCGTTC